TTATTGCAAGTTTAATTTTTAGTTAACCTCGTTTGTTTGTGTTTTTGTAACAAGAACCTAGGTTATAACTTAACCTCACTTTAACTCCGAAGAACCTGGAAGCACCTCAAATTGAAGAACCTCCGAATCGGGGGGTTTGGGAAGCTAAGTTCCCGTTCAATTTAAAATAAGCTAGAGCACCTTCATCCAAACAACATTTATGACATTAACCTAGATTCACCTTATTTATTTCCAAACACTATTTTACGCATGAACCTAGGATCACGTAGATTCACCTAGTTTTTATTAAAACTTAGGTTTACTTCATTGCACTAAGTTTACATAAGTTCACTTTGGCCTTGTTCGGCAATCGGCTGTTAGCTGTTAGCTGGTTATGACAGCTATTTTAATTAACTGATTATGTTAGCTGGTTGTCAGCAAATGTTTGGTAAATTAGAAGCTGTTCTCTTCATCTGATCTGAATGTTTCTGATCTGAATTTATTAAGTTTTGATCTGATCTGAATTTTTCTGATCTGATCTGAATCTTTCTGATCTGATCTGATCCGATCTGAATCTTTCTGATCTGATCTGATCTGAATCCTTCTGATCTGATCTGAATCTTTCTAATCTGAATATTTCTTTAATTATAATTATAATTATTATAATTGTAATTATAAATATAATTTATAATTATAGTCATAATTCTAAAAAATATTGAATTATAATCATAATCATAATTATAATTATAATCATAATTGTAATTAAACTTATAAATAATTATAATTATAATCATAAATTATAATTATAATTTATAATCACTGATTACAATTATAGCTATAATTATAATTGTAATTATATTTTTAATTATAATTATTTCTATAATTATAATTGTAATTATAGTTATAATTACTCTGTATAATAATAATAACAATAATAATTATAATAATATGGAGTAATAATAATAATCATAAAGCTAATAAAAATAATAATTATAATAGTAAAAATAGTTATAATAGTAATAATAGCAATAATAAAAATAATAACAATAATAATAACATCAATAAAAACAGCAATAATAACAACAACAACGGCAATAATAATAGTAGTAGTAATAATAACAATAACAACAACAACAATAATAATAATAATAATAATAATAATAATAATAATAATAATAATAATAATAATAAGGGTTCGAAACTCAATGGAGTGAGTTTCAGCCCTGATTACTCCAGGCCTCCCCATCCCCCTCCTCAGACCCCCCAGAGTAAAAAAAAACAGAGTTTTGATAAATATCTAAAACTGTTTACTTGAATTGACTTTTATGAACTAACCCACAAGTTTTCTTTCCTTCTCATTCGTGTCTATTTTCTTAGTATATTCGGGTTCCAAACTGACCCTTACAGTTACCTCTTTTTTCAGCTTAACCCTAACGTGATCCCATCGAAATGGAGCACCTTCACCAGCAGCAAGAGGGGAGCAGTTTGTATGTCCATGATGAATGGCCTCTTCTTCAGGACCCACTGGAGATTCCACCCTTCTCAGTCCCTTTAAGTGGTAATCACGTTCAATGTATGCTTCCATTTATTCCTTCAGGTGCAAGAATAATACCACCTGACACATGCTGAATATAATCAGCTTGGTAAGGTACAAATGACATGGAAAGAATCAATTAACTGAAAAAAATTGGTGTGAAAATAACAGTTAATGCACATAACATTAAAAATGTCACAAATCCTGATGGCGGATACTGATGGGTCCATGACTACCAGAAATAGTGAGACATATGTTTAGCCAAAATCTCTAAGGTTCCATTTGACAGCTATTTCTAGCTTTTGACTTAATTAATTGGCTGAAATGCATATCACCAAACGTACATCCTCTCAAGAAAAGCAGCATTTTGGGCCATTTCATCCATGTAAGACTAACTATTACAGGTGAGGTTTCCAATAAGCAGTGTCAACATTTCACACTCAATTTGACCATTGATTGGCTAATGAGGCAAATTAAGATGAAATCTTTGAATGACAACTTAGGATTGAAGTTTATCTTCATGTGCACTCTACCCAATTAAGAAAAACACAATAAAGACTTAGAGACGTTAAAGAAAGCCACCCATTTGATCAGATTAAGCAAAACACTCTCTTAACTCTTAATATTTGAAAAATGACTTGCAGACATTATAAAAAGCTAACACTTTTAGCAAATCGAACAAAATACTAACAAAAACACGAAAGCGACTACGGAGATAGTTTTATAGGTATTTCTAAGGTGATGAAGGAACAAACCAGCTGCTCGCAGAGCTCCTTCAATGGTTCCCTTAGCTCTGCATGGTCAGGAAAATCTGCGAACTTATAGAAAGAAAAACGACCAGCTTAGACTCCGTGCCGGAGCCTAGCAATTCATATCCCGCTCCAGCCAACGTTGAGTCCAAAATAGAGCTCACAGGATTGGTTGAAGATAAGCATTTGGATATGGTAGTATTTTGAGTTGGACTTGAGAGATCAATTTTGGGATTTGAAAAGAAAGGAAATGTTACCGCTGCCATTGGGGGTGGCTCCGGGGTCGGAATCATGTTGGAACGGCGGACTAAGTGGGGAACACCATTAGGGTGTGTAGAAATAATTGATGGCGTTCTCGGCGTTACCACCGTTAAGGATTGGGGAAACACAGTTATCACAATCAGCTAGTTGTACAGGGGGGCTCATGGCACAAGAAAAAGTCAAACGGTAGTACCCTTTGCAATAATTGAGATTCTATATTTAATACAGACAGCCAATCCTCCAACAGATACATGATCTGAATGACAGATTATGCAAGTTTATTATGACTAATTTAATCAAGTGCTATATCTGTTGTATTCACACTTGCATGTGAATAATGATATTCCTTCAGTCAAGGACACAGTCCGATATTTTTTTTTTGTAATGAGCCTGAATATAAACTCTGTATAGTGAAGAGCTCTTTGGAAGTGTTACTTGGTTGAAGGCCAACCCCTTGAATTTTTTAAACAAACTGCTGATACAATTGAGCTTAACCAAACTCAACTGCATTAACATATACTGATTACGTAAGAGTATATAATGCCAAGTCTATCCATGATCTAACCCAACTATATAAACTAAGAGTATTTTTCTTTTTTAGACTTTAGTTCTGCGCTTCTGCATATTACGGAGTATTATTATAGCGCTACTTTGGGCAGTGAGAAATTTAAAAATGTATGGTCGGAGCGGGATATTTACAGTCCGAGTATGAGAAGAGTGGCTTGAGGATTTGGTCCCAGGAGAAACAGTACAAGTGAAGCCGTGGGTGAATCTTATGCAATGAATTCCGATCACTCTGAGATCTCTCCATCCGATCATGAGCCGATTTGTTACTTTCCAGGCAACATGGACATATTGTTTAATAAACCTAGCAATCCATTTCAGATTTCTACTCTCTAAATCAGTAAACAAGAACTTATGTGTAATTGTCTAAATAGCAGAGGAATAGAGATACCTTTGAGAGCCATTCTGCGCTCTCTGCACGCTGTTCTTCCACAACTCCTAAAAGCTCTTTGCACTTTCGCAGCCTCACCTTCCGTTCGAACATTTCATATTATTTGCGTTTGTCTGTCTGATTTCATTTTCGCTCTATTTGAACCGCGACGGAAGATGCCACCGGAAGGAGAAATCTAGCGGAACACGGGCCGCGATAATTGAAAGAGAGTTATCGATTTAGATGAGGAGGAGGGGAGGGGGGGGGGGGGGAGAGAGATCTCGATTTTACTGACTACAAGTAGTACTTTACTACTGACAAGTAGGAAATCTATTTTTACTTGAGTAAAATACTTCGTAAGTAATTAATCTACGGAGTAGTATATTTTACCATTAATGGTTAAAATAAGTACGGATGGCTGTGAGAAAGGAGAGTTCCCCTAGGTCATTTCAGAGAGAGGCTGGCTATTTTTTTATTTTTTATTTTTTATTTTATCGCCAATAGGTTTTGTAGTGTAGGCCTCTCTCTCTCTATCTCTCTCTGGGCAAATCCTTCTACCTCACCTGAAACTTCTCGATTAGACTCCATTGAGAATTCCATCAAGACTTTACAATCCTCACCATCTATCTAATCCTTAAAATCATCACCATCTATGAAATTCGAAGTGTTTTGATCCTTTCTCTCTACTAGATTACTCGCCATTTCATAATTTCTCGAATGAGGCCCATGTCTTGTTATATTTGGGTATTGTGATGGATGCCAGGAGTGAAAAAAATACTTATGCCTCAGGCAAATATTTTCTTCAGCTTGTGTTATTATTATTATGCCCAGGTCTATTTTATTTCTACTAGAAACATCCTACATGCATATTTTTTCTTAATTGTTATCATTCAGTTAATTAACTCATTATAGATTTCTAATTAGATCAATTTGAGATTTATTTTTTATTTAGCTGATCCATGTTGAATTCTCCATGCCCTCAATCGAAGAACTTGGTCCTGTGTTGGGTGTGAACAAAATAAGAGGTTAATCAATCAAACCAGTTTACTGTGCAGAGTGAAATAGTCCAGATTTTTAATTCCAGTTTACTGTGAATTGGCTTGATGAAGTGACATTTTATTATTCCATCCAGTAAAGTAGTGAACTTTCAGTATTCCATCATGTGGCCGCCATGTATTTCCTTACACTTCTTGATGATATAAATAAATGTTATAAATTGTGTAGGGCTAATGGTCTAAGCATACACCAATTGCTTCTTTTGCTTTAATCCCTTGCTCCTCCTAATAAGCTTTGACTTCAGAATGTAGCATTTGCTATTAATCATGAAGTAAAATTATCTCTCTATTCGATACTTGTTAATTGTTATTGTCACATCCCATTTTTCTAACATCTCAAACCACTCTACAGGTTTTCAATAAAAAGGATTACTGTTGTTCAATATTCAGGCATTTCTCCCTTTAATTATAATACGTAACATGCTGAGGGATCTCTGTGGGTTAGGATAAGAACTTTGAGCTTACCTTCCTATTGCATGTTTTCAGAATGTGGGCAAGTAAGAGGGGCATTGCATTTTTGAGATTTTAAGATTCCGTTTGTGATGGGCTAAGATTTTTCCTGTTCTCACTTCTCATCTAACATTTCTGCTTCAATGTTCGAGATCCAACAAAAGAAGTATGATCTGGTGGGTTCCCCAATCACTAAAGTGGCTTCTGGTGGAAAGCACAACAAAACCTGACTTTCAGAAGGAGTAACATGGGATTTCTTTTGCGGAGAAACAGTAGGCTTCTCTTGCAACTCTATTTATTTATTTATTAGTTTTTAAATTTTACACGCCCAGCCCATATGCAGTGACTACACGTGGCTCTTAAAACATGATCTAATTGCTGTGCTTGTGGCTAGGTGAATGCGTAGGTCCAATGGTTCTAATACTTGGAATGGATACTGCATACTTGATCATTCCACAAACTACCACCAATCTCACGTATTTTAAGCCATCAATGATGAATTCTTAACATGATATTTAATGTTTATATTTTGGAATAGGTCATTGTGAGCCCCAGACAAGTATAATGAATTCTTTCATTACAGGAGCAATGGTTGTGGTATTATCAAAAGAACTTAGATATGAAATGTGACGTTATATTTGTGAGCCCCAGACAAGTATAATCAAATTATGTAAAGTTAACTATCTTTCAGTGTTGTTGTTTCTTTTTCTGATACATGTTCCTTTTAAGAGTTGTCATTTTGCCCTTTGTTTCTGTATTCAGAGTATTCACTGTTCTATTTCATACTAGCAGAGATCAAATCGCTCAATAGTGACCCTGCAGCCAAGAAAAGTTTACTTTCAGGTAGCTAAAACTATTTTTCTCAGGTCTTATGTAAACCCAACAATGAACGCTAGTGGTGTAGTAGAACTGCAAGCGTCTGATTTTGGAGGGAGTACAATGGGATTTCTTTTCGTGGGAAGCAGTAGGCTTCTCTTGCAACTCTTTTTATTTATTAGTTTTAAATTTTAAAAGCCCAGCACATACGCAGTTACTACATGTGGCTCTTAAAGCATAATCTATTTGCTGTGCTTTTGGGTAGGTGAATGCGTAGGTCCAATGTTTCTAATACTTGGAATGGATACTGCATACTTGAGCATTCCACAAACTACCAATCTCACGTATTTTAAGCCATCACTGATGAATTCTCAACATTTTATTTAATGCTCATATTTTGGAATAGGGGATTGCTCTTTACATTACAGGAGCATTGGTTGTGGTATTATAAAAAAACTTAGATATGAAATGTGATGTTATATATGTGAGCCCCAGACAAGTATAATCAAATTACGTAAAATTAACATTTTACTGTTAAGAGTTGTCATTTTGCCCTATTGTTGTGAATACCGTTGCCTGGATAATCAACGATAAAAATACCGTTGCCCAGAGCCAAAATTCTAAAACCAATTTTATTCCAAGATGATCAAGAATGAAGCATACAAGGGGTATAAATAACCCTCTAAGTCTAATAATAATAGGAATCCTAATTAAATCAAAATAGGAAAGTAAATAGAATAGGTAACCTCTAGTTCTAATAGAAGTTCTAATTAAACCATTCTAGGAAACTAAACAGAAATAGGAAACCTCTAATTCTAATAAGAATAGAAGTCCTAATTAAATCATACTAGGAAACAAAATAAATTAGGAAACAAAATAAAAGGAATAATTAAAATTAATTAAATTGCCCGCAGCCAGCCCACGAAAGTGGGCTCAAGCCCGTCCCCGCCCCATGCTCCTCCTGCTCTCTATCACCCATGTTTCTGTATTCAGAGTATTCACTGTTCTATTTCATAATCGTGTAATAGTGAGCCTGAAGCAACGAAAGTTTACTTTCATGTAGCCAAACTATTTTTATCGGGTCAACTATAAACTCCACAATGAAAGTTAGTGGTTTGGTAGCACTGCAAGAATATGATTTTGGAAGGAGTAAGATAGGATTTCTTTTTGGGGTAAGCGATAGGCTTTTCTTGCAACTCTTTGTATTTATTAGTTTTAAATTTGAAAGTCCCAGCACAATGCAGTTACTACATGTGGGCATGTGGCTCTTGAAACATGCTCTAATTGCTGTGCTTGTGGCTAGTTGATTGCGCAGGTCCAATGTTTCTAATATTTGAAATGGATACTGCATACTTGATCATTCCGCAAACTACCAATTTCAGGTATTTTAAGACATCACTGATGAATTCTTAACATGGTATTTAATGTTCATATGTTGGAATAGGTGATTGCTCTTTACATTACAGGAGCATGGGATATGGTTTTATCAAAAGAGCTTAGCTATGAAATGTGACCTCATATTTGTGAGCCCTAGACAAGTATAATCTAATTATGTAAAGTTTTATTTTATACCAGCATAGATCAAATCGCGCAATAGTGACCCAACACCGGGGGTGGGGGGTGGGAATCAGTCCTAATATTTGTTGTAGGTTGGTAGGGATTAGGGCGGGTACTAAGGCACAGGTTTAAATTAGTCTGATGATTTACCAATATTTGTAATCTACACTCAACATGAGTTCCCATTTTTTTAGATTTTACTATTCCGTGCAATGCATGGGTGAAATACTAGTTCTCTTAGTATACAACTCACAAATTCTCTTTCTCCAAAATCCGAACCTCCAAATTTTGGTGTTTTGATCGATTTTTTTATTTCTTCGTGTTATATTAAATCTTGTGTGCTTTTTCTTGCTTTCTCCTTCCAGCCTTTTGGGAAATTGGTTGAACAATTGAACCAATATAAGTTATCGGTATAGCCTAGACCACCAAAACACAAATTTGGGTGGGTTGGAAAAATGATTTATTCATGTAAATATTTGTAGCTAAAATTGTACACATGCATGACCTGGGGTGCGGCCCCCTCCACCTACACACCCTTAGATACCATGCTTGTACTGGACTTCCGAAACTGTTTAGTTTGCATTCAACCTTTGAGTGTTGATAATTTTGAGATTGAAATGCAACCTTTGACTGTTGACATGTTGGAGATTGACATGCTTTGTCTTTGGTCCAATGTGTCAGTTATTGCTCCTTTTGGGTTGATGGATGAAGAAGATTGCCACATCTTTTGCTTGCCAGGGGTTTGCAGATTTGTTCCTTGGGATGTGTGGTAACTGGTAATTGGTAGTGTGTGTTTTCTTTTTGGTTGATTTTGCTTGCATAAATAACCCTTTTAAACTAATCCATCCAATTTTAACAACTACTCTCATTATTGGTGATGGGTTGGGCATAGTATATAACTATATATTATTATCTGATGATTGATTTTTTGTGGTGCACTCCTTAATCTTAATATGCAACACAAAATAGTGAAAATCTTCAAATGATTATACGTAATTATTTTAGTTAACCTATCAATATTTAATTATGAATGTTTGAATGCTAACCTATTCAAATGCTATTGTTAGATACGTAGTAATAGATAAGTTTTGAGTTACACTATGTCACTATCAAATATTGTAATCAAGCAGGTACTACTAGATTTATGAAAAAATGATGCGGTAAACAATTGAGACCACTAGTGAAAATGGATTAATTCTAAAACATAATATTAGATCCAGGAGCAGATGTGATGAGCATAAGATTCGTCTAACGCCCCCCTTGGATTTAAGTGGTATAAGGAGCATTGGGTAGAAATCTAGATCTGTTAATTTGTTTTCACATATGTGATCTATAGATACTACATTCTTATTGATTGATGCTCATATTGTGTGTGCTGTTATGTTATACTTCTCCAAGCCACCATCACATCCTAATGAGCTGCATCATCGACAACCATTAAGCTCAGAAGCAGTCAGATAAGGAGTAGAAGCACGTGTTCCAGTTTCCGTAAGGAAGGCTGGGTGTACAAAATGCTGAATCTGCTGGAAATCTTTGTTATAAAATGAACCCTGCTAAAGCGTTTGACAAAGGTACACGACATATCACCCTTCTTGGCAATACGTTCCATATCTTTGTGTTTTTCAAAGCTTGTTGTTGAAGCAAAAGTTCAGTCCCATTGCGCTGGTGTCCTGCAGTGTTGGCATGGGATAAGCTTATGGGTAGACCGGATTGAAACAGTTGTATGATATTATTATGCTGACTCAAACACAGTAGGTTCAGAGCCCACTTTGATTTAAAGCTTCAAGGTAATGTCGTGACTCATGCATGTGTGTGTTCTTACTGCGACTATGCAGGTGTGGTGTTGTTGGGAAAGCAAACAATTAATGGATGATGGCTGGATCAAATTTGAAACCCCGCTATGCCCATTCCTTGGGCTCACGATATCTTGTGGTGCTTTTTTGAAATTAATTTGAAATGTCGTGGTTGGTACCTATCATACCTTCTAATGACTTTCTTTATAATATATGTGATTCTGAACTTCTAGAGTTCTAGTTTAATTAGGCGATGTGCCTCTCATTTCTCAAAGTAATCTACTTTTTTATTTTCCTTCTCAGTGAATCTTTGGAAAAGTGGCTAATCTAATCGTTATGTTTTATTCTGAAAAACATCTTTTGTCGGGTTTAGCTTACAGAAGTTCTCGGGCAGGTGGGGGGGGGGGGGGGGGGGTAATAGGACTATAAGCATTATTAACAAATTCTGGTTCCATTTTGAAAAAGAGTGTCACAAGAAAAAAGGAGCAAATAACTATAAATTTTATCAGTCATTGTTAAAATGTGATTTAACATTAACAAAATCAAGCTTGGTACCTCCGCTACAAGAAGTCCACTTCTTAAGTTTCCACTTTACCCTTTTTGTACTAAAAATGTGAAATTATGCTTTTCAAACACAAATATAGCAATTGATATTTACTGAAACTCTTAATATCCTGAATAATAAAAAGATCACGGTTTACATCTTTGTGTGCCTGTTTCTACAGTTTTTTCGGGAAAATATTGATGGGCGTGTCTCCCTATTCTTAGATATTTAGAACACTTGAAGAATGCTATGTAAACAAAAGAAGTGAAAACTTACCCACTTTAAACCAAGGTTTTAAATATCCATAAATATCTTGACATATCACTATGTAAATGTATATGTATAATACAAATAGAAAAATGAGTTAACAATAATACGTAGTCTTTAATAGCTATAGTTGTGATTTTTAACAACAATAAAGATGTGTTCATTTCGCTTTAAATTTTAAAGTCTAGTTTGGTTGATTTAAAAAGAAAATTGGTCTAGTTTAGTTTGGACTGCCTATTTATGTTTGGTCTGAATTGGCCTGGTAAGGTTAGATATTTTTTGTATTGTCTAAATTAGGTGAATCTTGGTTTGATCTAGTTCGGCCTGTTTAGTTCTGTTCTGGATTGGTCTAGTCAAGTGACTTGTTTGGTCTTGACTCAAGTCTGGTTTAGCTTAGTTTGATCTAGGAATAGAATCAGTCCAATTGAAAATGTTGTAATTCAAAATATACTTCCTCTGTCTCGTTGGACATTGTCAGGTTACTATTTATTTGGTCAACAAATTTACCTTTTTTTCTTTGATTCTGGTCATCATTTTTTTTTCTTAAATTCAAACATCTAGCGATTTAATCATTTAATAGAACTCTTAGTGTAGGTTTTAAATACCTAAAAGTTAAATTCTAATTGTCATTTTTAAAACTTTGACCAACCATATATTTTTATTGGAAATTATTTATAATATAAAAATTATATGAAAATGTTCTTTATGAAATGTCCTTTCATAAAAGTATAAAATTTATAAATTCCATAATATTATACTAATCAAAATTATGATCCAAATTTTATGAAATGACAAAGTTTTTTTGGAACAGAGGTAGTAATATATTAAATATTGTCCGAGATAGGTAAATCTTTGCATGAATTTCATCTATGGCCAGCTGAGTGGAGGGAGTATAGTTTTGGTACCAAAAAGATGCATTTTAGAAACAGTTTAGTAACAATAAGATACATACGGAGTACTAAAAATGCTACCACCCATAACTTCAAAAGTAATAACACTATGAGCATATTTGGTAACATTAAAATTTATTGGATTGGCAATGTGTTGCAATTGTTGAATTTGTGACTGAATTTGCTGGATTATGAAATAAGTATGTGTAAATTAAAGAAAAGTAAAGAAGTGATAGAGGGATAAAGTGGGAAAATATAAAATTAATAGAGTTCAATTTAGGAAAGTGTTTATATTTTTTGGGACAACTTTAAAAAGAGGTGGCTCACAAATGGGATGGAAGAAGTGTCTCATATTTTTTGGTCCATCTTATTTTTTCTTATTTTGAAGGTCATAATCTCCATCTAAAACTGAGCTTGTTTCAAGGCTAAAGCCTCCGTATAACCCTAATTCCAGCACCTTCAACGTGAATCACCCTTCAGCTGGCCAGTTGCTTTCTCGATCTTGCTCCTCCAGATCTCACTCGTTTGTAAGGTTAGTTTACAGAAGTCGTTTACATATTATGTCATCTCTACCTGCAAACACATTTGCAATATCCAGGTTTTCATTCACTCTTTCTCAAAAAAAAAAAAAAGATTTTCATTCACTTATTCATTTAGGGAGAAGGTAGGTTCTGGTTTCTTCGAAGCTTAGAAATCCTCACTCATCTCCTCCAACATTCAAGTGGTGGAAATCATTTCATTTTCCTAAAGTAAAAAGTTTATCTGCTTATTAGAAGTGTCCCACCTAAAGCAACATATCAACTAGGCTAGAAAGTTAAATTTGATCTCCTCTAGTTCTCTCCAATTCTTTGGTGAAGTGTTGTCCTCAATGAATTTGAGATACTATTAGTATATAAGCATTATTAACAAATTCTGGTTCTATTTTGAAAAAGAACGTCACAAGGAAAAAGGAGCAAATAACTATAAATTTTATCAATCATTGTTAAAATGTGATTTAACACTACCGGTTCGGTTCTCGGTTTGTAATAAATATGTTGCCATGAAACCAATAAAGAACCGATAGTTCATTTTAAGTAGCTACTAGCTAGTAGTTAGTGGGTCATCCATATTCTGTAGTTCCAAAAACTTAATACAGAGTACAACTGCAGCCTGTAGCCCACTACTGCTTTAGCCCGCTTCAGGCCTAATCCCGTCCAAGTAGAGAGCTGAGAAACTTGGGAAGTGAACAACCGCAGCTACTTTCCTGGTGGTTTGAGGTAAACATTTTTTCTCCATCTTACTGAAAGGTTACAATTATCATCCTTTTTCAATAACAAGTTGAGCTAAATTCTACCTTTTTCTGTGATTTTGTTTGATATTTGAGATTTGCTTGAACAAAAATGAGTTGAGCATAAGGCGTACCTTTTTCTTCAAAGAGGGGTTCCCTTCCCCAGAGTCTTGAACAAGTAGTGCTCCATTAATCAATTCCCAGCTAGTTAATGTCTCATCTCATTTAAAAAAAATGTATGCACGCATAGTTGTGAGCCAAATCCATTATAATATGAAATTTTGCATAAGTTTCTTCATAGGTATTGGTTACACTATAATCAATCTCATGAGCACTGATAGATTGTTAATTCATTAGTGAAATGCAATGCTGCCAAGCAGGGAGATAGGGTTAGGATATCTTAGGCATTGATTCAAAAGTTTCTACATGAAATACGTGTACAAGGTTTTACCCTCCATGAAACTCTATGACATTCTTTTAGGTAGTTGCCCTATTTCACAGTTTTGAATATTTGGGATTATTTAGATGTTTATTTCTTATAAGTTACTATTATGCATTGATGATATCCATTTGGCTAACAGTATGCTTAACCATTACTAATATCCAACTATCCATTGATGATAATAGTTACTTTTGAAGTCACACTGAAGACCAATCATCTATTTAACTTTTTGAAGCTGAAGACCAATCATCTAATTAACTTTTTTCTCAGTATCTTTTTGATGCTATTAACTAGTATAGGTTTAAGCTGTTTTGTTTTTATTATTTCATGACATTGGGAATCACTTAATTGTGTTATATCAAACCGTGGATGCTATTATATTGCAGATGGAATGTCGACGTAGAATTAACAATGAGACATTCAGTTACAGAAACACCACTAACTATCTGTCGCAGGCAAAAGATCAAGGGCTCTACCGTATGACTTTCATAAATTGTTTCTTCTAATTTTATTCAGTAAATGGTACAGTACAGAGACAGTGAAATCTGTGAATCAAGTGTTGTTTTGTTTAATACCGTGGTTTTGAACTTGCAGCTACATGTTATCTACACGCATTGCTGTCATTGCTGGAGTGTAAGCTTCGGATGAAGCAAGCATGCCTCGTAAAAAGACGAGCAATTGGTAATTTGTCTGTTGAGCACGTGTTAGATGGTCTGAAAAAAGAAGAAATAATGGATGGAGCACATCCATTATATAGTAAGCGTGTTGAGACGTTTCTCAAAGACCACGGGGTAGCGTTTGAGAAGAACTACTGTAAGGGGAAAAAGGGGACTGCAAATTGCTACAAGATTAAAAGGTTTATTAAGTTTGAAACTGGTTTGAAAAAATCTAAAGTAAAATTGGTTACCGCTGTGGGACCGAAAGTCATGAGGCGTGACAGTACATCTTCAAGAAGTTATATAGAGAAACTCAAGAAAGAGCTGAGAACAAACGGCCCATTAATTGTATCTTTTAAATTAAGAACTGGTTTTACCGAGTTGTCAAAGAATAGTTTTCTAACAGCTGAAGCGCCCTATACGCAAGTTCCGGTACCTAAAGAAGGAAAAGATGAGGATGTATCTTACAAAAATGAATGGCATGCTTGTGTACTTGTTGGGTTTCAGTTCATAAACGGTGTTGACTGTTTTGAAATATTAAACAGTTGGGGTACTAGTTGGAGCGATAAGGGCTATGGTTTCATTATGGCGTCAGACGTGGAAAGAGCATACTCGTGGGAGGCATTAGAGAAACTGTCGTCATGATGCTTCCAAACACTCTTATTTGCTGAAAACAACTGTAAGGTGCCACAAACATGCTTTCAATGTAGCTGTTAGCTGTTTTCTTACATGCTTTAAGGTGCCACTCTTATTTTCTGTGTAGCTGTTTTCTTACAAAGATTTCCCAAATTGCAGGGACCAAGAAAGAAGATCCTACTTGCCTTATCTCGTGCCAAGCGCCAACCATAAGAGTCCAGCTGCTCTTGAAAAGAGACATTCATAGGTTTTTGTGTTCATGCAAATATAGTGCTGAAATGTGTCTTTCTCAAATCATATCACCAGGTGGCATTTTAGCTTTCTGTTGTGTTCATTGGATTGTTCATGTTTTGTGCCTGATCGAGTTCTTTCAAAACTTGTAGAAACTCATCACAAATCTTTGTACATGCAAAAAGGCTTTGTCAACATCTTTTATCCTGTGTGTCAATTGGTTACTGCATTTTCAAATCCAATATGAATGCAGTTAGATACAGTGTGTTTTATAATGACATATTACAACTATGTGAGTTGGGTTTGTGATAACACACATCTTCATAAAAGGAAATATTTGACTACAGAAAGAGCTAGGGATATGGCCATAGGGGTAGACACTGTCCCGGGTCTGGAAATGTGGTCTGGATATGGGAAGTCTTGTTTGATTTGCTTCAAGGCATGGATCTGGTGCAGTTCTGGAGATTATTCTACCCACAGGTAGGAATGGACCGGGTCAGGCGGGTTAAGGCCCGATACCGGCCCGGGATTCTATTGGGACCTGCCCGGGATCGAGTCGGGCCGGGTTAATTTTTTTAAATTAGGTGTTTCTAATTTATTCCTACCCCCACCTCGAAACTCCGCAAAACACCCGGCCCAACCCACCTAACACTGGACCAATGTCAAAAACTAAAAAAAAACAGAAATGGCCCAGACCGGTCCGGACTTGCCCCGCCCCGCCCCACCTAGGGATGGACTCGGGCCGGTTGGCCCGGCCCGGAACCGGACTGGCCCGCTACTGTGCGGGCCCGGACTGGCCCGATGAACCGGTTGGTGCCCGATTCGGGCCACCCGGCCCGGTAAAAAAGCGGTCCGGGCCCGGGCCTGCTATATAGTGAACCGGCCCGGCCCAGCCGGGTCTGGTCCGGGCCTCAATGGTCAAATTTTAATTTTTTTTTAAATTGGTAAGGGCTCTAATAGCCGTTGGGAGAGCTCCCAAACGGCTCTATAGCCGTTGGGAGCATAGGAGGGGGGTCTGGGGGGTTGGGGTTGGGGTGGGGTATACAAAAAAACCTATTTATATTCCTATTTTCTATACATTATTTACACCTCTACTTCTACAACTCTTCCTACTCATTTTCTATTCTCTCAATCTCTCATATTCAATCATCTTCATTCTTCATCTTCTCCAAATTCTTTTTACATATATATAATTTATATAATTATTATATCTACTTATATATTAATTATCTACTTATAAATATATATCTATACACATTCATATTATAATTCTTTACACATTATATATACTATATATAGTTATACACATTCATATTTACTTGATATTTAGTTATTATCCATACTATTGTTATTTACTTATATTTAAATATTACGTTTAGTTAATATATACTATCCTCCGTCTCTTTTTAATCGCAACATGTTGAATTTTACACTATTCACATATTTTACTTTGACTTCATTTTATATTATTATTTTATGATTTTTTTTTAAAATTATATTGTTCAATTCATCTCATTACAAATTTTCAAAATCTAATTTTTAAATATTTTTTACTAATAGGGATTAAGATATAATTACGGTCAAAGATGTGCGTTGGTAAGTGTGAAATGTTGACCGTTGCAACTAAAAAAGAACGGAGGAAGTACTTATATATATATATATATAGAGAGAGAGAGAGAGAGAGAGAGAGAGAGAGAGAGAGAGAGAAATCATCTCATCAGGCCGGCCTGACGGGCTGCCTCGCCCGGCCGAGCCCGTTTGGGCACCTTCCCGGTGGAATTTTTTGATGAAATTTTTTGAGCATGTTCCTCATCAAGTCTAGTTTGTCCATACCAAATTTCAGTTCAAAATTCGATCGGGAAGGTCGTCAAATGAGTTTTGCAAGTTAACTGGTCCGGAATATGTATTTTCCGGACCAGTTAACTTGCAAAAATCATTTGACGACCTTCCCGATCGAATTTTGAGATGAAATTTAGTATGGACAAACTAGACTTAATGAGGAACATGCTCAAAATCTAAAGGCTGTTTTTAAATTAAAATATGTAATATTAATATGAAAATTAATTAATTGGTTACAAACTTACAAGTTACAACTTCAATATGTAATTTGTTTAAATAATTATACACCTATTTTGTAACATTTGTAAATTATAAATCAAATTACTTTTCTAAGTAAAAATAGTTTTAATTAATTCATTAAATTAATTAACTTATTTTACAATATGTATAATTTTCAAAAAATAAAATAAAAACATTTTGAAATACAAAATTTCTCCCAAACGGCTATATAGCTGTTGGGGCTTAGGGTGGGGGGCAGGGGGGTCCCGGGGGTGGCTATATGGGGGTGTGGTTCAAAAAAATCTATAAATACATCTATTTTCTACCATTTTTGTACACCTCTTATCAAACTCTTCTCCAACTCTTCTCCATCTTCATCTTTTCTAAGGAGACAGCGTACTTAGGGGATGTATGCAACGCGGGGCTTAGGGGATAATTTATTAGTAATAAAAATTATTGGAGAACGGCGAAGATGGCGTAAGAGTATTAGTAACAATAAATTCGTAAACAATAAATTAGTAACAATAAATTCGTAAACAATAAACAATGAACGGCGAAGAGTATGTACGCTGTCTCCTTAAAAATAAAAATTCGTAAACAATAAATATTAGTAATATAATATAGGTATATAAGTAGATAATTAATATATAAGTAGATATAATAATTATAGAAATAATATATATGTGTGTGTGTAGAGAGGTTTGGAGAAGATGAAGATGGAGATGATTGAGTATGAGAGAATAGAAAATTAGAGAGTAGGATTGTATGAAGATGGTGTGAAAAATGTAGAGAAAATAGGAGTATAAATAGAATTTTTTGGTATCCCCCACCCCCCCCCCCCCAAACCCCCTGGACCCCTCCTCCCCCCCCCTCCAACGGCTATAGAGCCGTTTGGGAATATTCCCAACGGCTAGAGTCTTCTACAATTTAAAAAAAAATTAAAAATAGCCGTTGGAGACCCGGACCGGTTCATCATTTGCAAGGCCCGAGCCCGGACCGCCTACCTACCGGGCCAGGTAGGCCTGAACCGGCCTGCTGGCCGGTTCCCGGGCCGGGCCGGAACAGTACCAGTTCGGGCCAGTTCCGGTTCGGTCCGATCGGCCCGAGTCCAGGCCTAATTCACGTATATGTATTTTTTTTTTAAATAATAGTCAACGTTTTTTTGCCCAGTTTTTTCATTTATGTTACCGAATAAAACGTGTATGTTTTAAACCTCGTTTAATTCCCGCGATGTATTTAACTATGATCTAAAACACTAAATGTGGATAGCTACCAAGCCAATACCCAATTTACTAATTGCGATTGAGGCCTGTGACTCTGTGAGTAGGGATCTACTTGGAAGGGACAGCCCGGGCCCAACCCAGGACCGCCACTAGATAATACCGGCCCGGCCCGGCGGTACCAGGACCGGAACTGAGGCCCAAACCGGGGTTGGGGGTGGGGCTAAGCATTGGAGAACAAGGGTTTCAGACTAAATACGAGCAAGACATAGTACATGGAGTACAAGTTTAGTGGAGGTAGAAGCAGTGGTAATAGCGGAATTACTTTAGATGGGAAGGAGATACCGGTCAGCGATATGTTCCGTTACTTGGGCTCCATAATTCAGAAGAACGGTGAGTTAGATGGAGATGTATCCCATAGAATCAGAACAGGGTGGATGAAGTGGAAGAGTGCGTCAGGATTTCTATGCGATCGAGGTATGCTGACTAGACTGAAGGGTAAATTTTATAGGACAGCAATTAGGTCTGCATTACTGTATGACACGGAGTGTTGGGCGGTGAAACAATGTCACATTCAAAAGATGAGTGTGGCAGAGGTGCGCATGCTGTGTTGGATGTGCGGACATACTAGAAAGGACCACGTGAGGAATGAGACAATCAGACAAAGGGTGAGAGTAGCACCTATTGAAGATAAGATGCGGGAGTCGCGCCTACGGTGGTTTGGTCATGTGCATAGAAGACCGAGTGATGTACCTGTCAGACCAGTTGAGATGTGTGGAGAAGAGGCATGGAAGAGAGGGAGAGGAAGGCCCAAACAGAAGTGAGTTAGGGGAGTCAGAAGTGATATGCTTTTTCTTGGATTGGATGAAGGTATGGTTTTGGAGAGAGCAAAATGGAGGGCATGTATTCATGTGGAGGAGTGATCTTGTATCATCTTTTCCCTTTTTTTTTTCTTTTTTTTTTTCTTTTTTAAATTTTTATCCTTATATATAAATATTACTTTATCCTTTTTATTTTATCTTTTATATGTATATTCATCTCTTTTATATTATCTTTTTTTATAATAGCTATCTTTTTTATCTTTATTTTCTTTCTTTTCCTTTTGGTGATATCGTGTATCGATTCATGTTAGCCGACTCCAATATCGTTTGGGACTAAGGCTTGGATGTTGTTGTTGTAATACTTGTCTCGTTTTTTCTATTATTTAATTCATCGTTTTTTCTATTCATAGTAATTCAATTCATCGTATTGTTACATTTTTCATTTCGTTATTAGTTAATTTGTTAATTGTTGCATTTATCATAAAAGTGTAAATGTAGTTAATTGTTGCATTTATCATAAAAGTGTAAAAGTAGTTAATTCTTACATTTTTCATTAAAGCATAAAACTAGATAAGTGTTACATTTTTCATTAAAGTACAAAACTAGTTAATTGGTTACATTTTTTTATTTCGCCATTAGTTAATTTGTTAATTGTTGCATTTTTCATTAGATTATAAAACTAGTTAATTGTTACATTTTTTATTTCGCTATTAGTTAATTTGTTAATTGTTGCATTTATCATAAAAGTAGAAAACTAGTTAATTGTTACATTTTTCATTAAAGTATAAAACAAGTTCATTGTTACATTTTTCATTAAAGCATAAAAGTAGTTAATTGTTACATTTTTCATTAAAGTATAAAACTAGTTAATTGTTACATTTTTTATTTCGCTATTAGTTAATTTGTTAATTGTTGCATTTTTCATTAGATTATAAAACTAGTTAATTGTTACATTTTTTATTTCGCTATTAGTTAATTTGTTAATTGTTGCATTTTTCATTAGATTATAAAACTAGTTAATTGTTACATTTTTATTTCGCTATTAGTTAATTTGTTAATTGTTGCATTTATCATAAAAGTAGAAAACTAGTTAATTGTTACATTTTTCATTAAAGTATAAAACAAGTTCATTGTAATATTTTTCATTAAAGCATAAAACTAGTTAATTGTTACATTTTTCATAAAAGTATAAAACTAGTTAATTGTTACATT